TTCCCTACCCCTCAGGTATCACAGAAAGAGAACAGAGATAACTCTAAAGAACACTTGGTATTATAGTACTTATAGTAAGTACTCAACACGTACATTTACTTATGTCAGGTACTTTATCAGGCCTGGTAATGCAAAGATAAATAAAATGAGGTTTTTATCCTCAAGGAGCTCACAAACTGTGGAGGGCAAAAATAAACAAACTAAGTTAAAATGCAGTGTGCCAAAATATTGGGTTTCTCAAAACAATGTATATACATACTTTGACTAATTATAAAGGCAGTGTTTGTTAAAATACATTTTGTCTTCAAAATTGAGCTATCAGCTGTTAAGTGTATATATATATATATTTTGGGGACACCCTGTATATTGATAGAAGAAAGTACAAAAAACTACGGGAGTACATAGGCCTCATCTCCAAATGCAATCATATTGAGGATTAGAGTCAACATATGAATTTGGGAGGAACACAATAGAGTCCATAACACATCTTCAAGGAGATTTTGGACTGACTAATCAGAACCACCAATTTTGTTTTCCGTGAAGCAAACATGAGAAAAAACATGAACTTTACACATTTTTTTTTAAATTGCAGATCTCCTAAAAGAACATTTTAAAAGCATGCATTCCCTTGAGTACTTTCATCATCAAGAATTTCCATCTTAAATTTAAATAGTTAAAAGGATTTGATTTCTGGATATTATAATGTTGGCAAGAATAAAACTGTTATATCACTTAAGAAATGTTATCCAATGTAATGTAAAGTCCATACAACTTGATACCCACTAGCCATTAAAAAATTACACAAATAAGTTCAATAGTCAGAATTTTGGCATTGTTCCTTTTTCCCCTTCAATTTATATTTCCATCCATTTCACAATGGAATTTTCTTTCTAATATATTTTATGCTTAAAAGTTTTATTGATTACCTTATCAAATGTTCTGTAGCAAAAATACATACATAACTTGAAGTAGCAAAGAGTTTATTTGTATTTTATAAGACTCAAAGATATTCAAGAATTCTTCAATTGTCTTGGATTCTTGAATTCTTGGATTGTCTTAACAATAGAATTATTAAGAAACATAATGAGCCCTACCCGGTTTGGCTCAGTGGATAAAGCATCATCGGCCTGTGGACCTAAGGGTCCCAGGTTCGATTCCGATCAGGGGCACATGCCTGGGTGGCAGGCTTGGTCCAGTGTGCAGGAGGCAACCAATCAATGATTCCCTCTCATCATGGATGTTTCTATCTCTTCCTCTCCCTTCCTCTCTGAAATCAATAAAAATATATTTAAAAAAAAGAAAAGAAAAGAAACACAATGAATCAAAACAGAACAACTTTTGCCTGGTCAGTGTGGCTCAGTGGTTGAGTGTTGACCCATGAACCAGAAAGTCCTGGCTTAATTTCCTGTCAGGGCACATGCCTGGGTGATGGGCTCAATCCCCAGTAGTGGGTATGCAGGAGGCAGCTGATTGATGTTTCTTTCTTATCTATGTTTCTATTTATCCCTCTCCCATCTTCTCTCTAAAATCAGTAAAAATATATTTTAAAAATAGCTACACTAATAAAAGAGAAACATGCAAATTGGTGTCACTCCACTATACCCACTAGCCAATCAGAGCAACTATGCAAATTAACCCAATAAAGATGGCAGTTAATTTGCATACGCAGGTGCAGAGCGAAGACCAAAGGCTCTGGCCGGCCATAGTGAAGACTGAAGACTGAAGCCGCAGCGGAGAAGCCACGCCTCACTGCAGCTGGAGGGGAGAAGCCACGCTTTACTGCAGCTGCAACGGAGAAGTCTAGCCTCAAGGCTTGGCTTCTCCGCTGCGGCCGGACCAAAGGCCTGGGTCCCGGGTGCCAGAGGAAAACCGGTGCCAGCAGCCAGGGGAAGGAAGGCCTATTGCATGAATCTTTGTGCAATGGGCTTCAAGTCTATCTAATAATAGGGTAATATGCAAATTGGTTGGGACACCATCATGTAATGACCTATCAGCAGGCTGCATGCAGTAGGGGTGGGTAGGCGGAGACTTGCAGCATTGGGGACTGGGACGGGGGAGGCGGGGCCCGGCGGAGGGCGGCCTGTACTTCCCACATGGCAGCAGCAGCTGTGAGTGCTCCCGATGGCCACTGCCGCATGCCCAGAAGGACAATAGGTTCCTTCTGCCAAGTGGCAGCAGAGCCACTCTGCTGGGAAACCTCCGCTTTGGCCATGAAGGCAGGTGAGCGAGGGAAAGCCCAGCAGCGAAGGCAGGTGATTGAGGGAAAGTCCAAGCTCCATAGCTAAGAGCTCCTAACCCAGCCACGACCCACCTTGGCCTCCAGCACTGTGAGTCAGGGGTTCTGAGAAAGGCAGCTCCTTCCTGCAGCTCCTCAAACTCCCAGGCTGCCTCCATCACCCTCAGTGCCCCTCGGGTCAGGGTTGGGAATCGGGAGGCCTCC